GCTCAGGGGTCCAAGATTATCTTCTGTGTCTGTGTTCATTGGTTTCCCTTTTCTTTGTTGAAGAGTGTCTGTGCAGTCCTTGTGCCTAGTCCACCATCTTGCCAGAACTTCGTAAATTCATTTTCCATACAGCAATCCATACACATGTTGTTTCACAACACTGACTACAATTCACCACAATGTAACAGCTCTCTTTCCACTTTCTTGCCATAGTTACCTCTTCCCCATGTCCTTCCCTCCCATTCACTCCCGCCACCCCCCATGCCCAGCTGTCTCCTTGTGCAAACCCTGCCCTTCTATTCTCCCATGATAGATCGCTCTAAGGAGTGTATCTGCTTGATGTAAATGTTCACCCCATATGCCTATTATTTGGCTGGAAGCCACAGGAGTGAGTTGAGTATTAGACCTGAAGGGTAACTAGTCTCAGGGGTCTCACCAGGCTCTATCAGACCAGCAAAACTGGTTTTCCCCACCCCCCAGGGATTTTGAGTTTTGTTCCACATTGTTCTCCACTTTATCCAAGATCTCTTCCATAGATCCCCCTCTGAGTGGTTGACAGTGGTAGACGGGCACCATCTAGTTCTTCTGGTCTCATAGTCATATAGGCTGAGGATTGCATGGTGTACTAGTCCCTTGGATTAATTGTTTCCATGCGTCTATGGTTTTCTTCATTCTTCTCTGCTCTGGATGAAGAGAGACCCATCATTGCATCTAGACCACTTGCAAGCTTTTAAGATCCCCATCACTACTCCCCAAAGTAGGATGTGGAACAATGTTTTTGTGTACTTTGTTATGCTGATTGAGCCTGCTGTCCCTTGTGACCATGGTCCCAAGCCCACAGGTCCCTCAGGTAGCTGGCTGTGACCAAGAAGCTACCATAACTTTGTCCATTGCCAGTCCTACTATACACCTGGCATTCTTAAACACGTATAAATACTCATATAGAAACATTGTCTGCCAACCCTATACATGGTCATGGGCACACTCTCCCCTACCTAGTAATACCTGATCATTCAGCCTGTCTACCCACCTATCTACCCATAGATCAATGCTTGCTATCACTGACAATGCTGTACTGTACATGTAGAAGGGTTCATCTTTGTTATTTGTACTTCCCATGTACTTCTCTATGTCTTTGTCTTCCTCAATGCCACCTTGTTGATCACTCAATTTTGGTACACTGCCTTCCCTTCACCCAAATCAATACTTGTCTCTACCTATCTAGCAGTGTTCCCTACCTGCCTCCCCATCACCTGGTAACCAATAAAGAAACTTTCCTTCTATATACAAACCTTTCTTTCACTTAAAAAAAAAAAAAGTGAACTAATACAATATTTGTCCTTTCGTGCTTGACTTATTTCACTCAGCATAATGTCCTCCAAATTCATCCATGTTATGTGGTGTTTTGTGGATTCTACATCATTCTTCAGTGTTGCACAGTATTCCATTGTGTGTGGGTACCAGAGTTTGGTTATCCATTCTTCTGGTTGTTTTTGGCTATTGTTGTTCATTAGATTCCTTTTTTGTTTGTTTGTTAAATTTTATTGTGTTTTGGTTGCAGATTTACAGAGCAAAATTTGTTTTGCATGCAACAGTTCATGTACATTTGATTTGACTCCCTGATTAACATCCCCACCCATAACAAAGTCTCCTCCCCTCCTGTCCCTGTGACTACCACTCCCCCAAGCCTTTCTTAACTATGCACTGCTGTCTGGACAGGTTTTCCCTCTATGTGAATACTGTCCCTCTCATGCCCCATGGACGATTACTCTAAGGGGTGTATCGCTCAAGAGTATGTGGATGCATCACCCTGGGGTAGGTATTCTACATGTAGTTCTTTCTACTGTTGGACTTAGAGCCAATCCATGGGAGTGAGTCCAATTCTAGGCCCGAATGTTAACCTGGGGTCATAGTCTTAGGGGTTCCACTAGACTATCCAACCAGTAATTCTGGTCATTTTTGTGTTTTCGGATCTTCCACATTTTTCCTCCCACTATATCCAGGATCTGCAGGTTTGATCCCTTTCTGAGCAGTTGTCATTGGTAGCTGGGCACCATCTTCTTCTGATTTTGGGGTCCATCATGTCCTTGGACTAACTGTTTCCAGATGCCTTTGATTTTCTTCCCTTTTTGTTGCTTCAGATGAGAAGAGACCAATAGTTGGATCTTGGATGGCTGCTTGAAAGCTTTTAAGATCCCAGTTACTACTCACCAAATGAGATTGTGGAATGAGATTTTTATGTGCTATGTTGTGCCAATGGAGCTCAGTGTCCCCCGAGACTATGGTCCTGAGTTGGCAGGCCCAGAGATTCTCTCTCTCAAGGTGTTTGGTTGCCTCTGAGAGGTAACTCCAACTGTCTTCTGTTGCTTCTGTAATGTGTGTGGCTAATTTTGTAGCACAAGTACATACATGAGATTATCTTCAGCTAAATCTATCCTTGGTCTAGGGTATATTTTTGCTGACCTCCATCTGCTCTTCTCACTTGTCTATGCATTTATCTGTGACTTGGTGTTTGGTGTTAGAAGTAATGCAGTATTGTGCATGTACTGTTATTTGCCTCTGTTGTCTATATCTTACGTGCACAATTCAGTCTCCTTCTTTTCCCCAGTGTCATCATGCTAGTCACAGACTCTTGCCATACTATCACTCCCTTCACCCAAACCAATATGTGACCCCCAACTAGTCTGACTTCCCTCCCCTCCCCGGTAACCTACAAAATGAGTTCCTTTCCCTAAGTAAACTCTTCCTTGACTTTGTACAGTAATGAGCTCATACAATATTTGTCCTTCTGCAATTTACTATTTCACTCAGCATAATGTCCTCCAAATTCATCCACATTGTGAGACGATTCATGCATTCTTCATTATTCTTTAATGTAGCATAGTATTCCATTGTGTGAATGTACCATAGCTTGGTTATCCATTCATCTGTTGATGGGCATTTAGGTTGTTTCCATCTCTTTGCTATAGTGAATTATGCTGTGTGAACATGGTTGTGCATATATCTTTTAGTGTCCTGTCTCTTGCTTCTTTAGGGTATATTACTAGTAATGATATTGCTAGTCAAATGATACTTCTATTTTCAGTTTTTTAAGGAAACGCCGTACCATTTTTCACAATGGTTGCACTATTTTGCAGTCCCACCAGCAGTATATGAGAGTTCCAATCTCTTTACAACCTCTCCAGCATTTTTTATTTTCTGTCTTGTTGAACTTTGCTATTATTGCTGGGGTGAAATGATACCTCATTGTTGTTTTGATTGCATCTCTCCAATGGCTAATGAGGAGCTCTGGTGGTATAGTACCTAAGGCATTTGACTGCTAACCAGAAGACTGGTGGTTCAAACCCACCAGCTACTCCTCAGAAAGAAGGTTGGCAATCTACTTCCATAGAG